TCAATGTGGTTTGTCCATCTTGGGTCTGCAGTTATTGTGACGCCAAGATACTTATATTCAGTCACGTTAGTCAAGGTAACACCCTGGAGTGTGTAGCTAAACTCTGAACGCTGACGTTTATGAGTTATGGTCATACATACGTTTTTTTTCTGTATTTAGCGACAATCGCCATTTTGCACACCAGTCGTTTAATTTAGACAAATAGTCGTTTCGCCTTACTTGATCTGCGACAGACTTCAATTCAGTGTAGATAATACAATCGTCTGCAAACAATCTGGCTTGAATAGGTGAATCAACTATGAGGTCGTTGGTATACAAAATAAACAACAAGGGCCCAAGCACATAGCCCTGAGGCACACCCGAATCGACATCACATATGTCTGACCTGTGTTCGCCAATACTTACAGATTGTTTGCGATTTCTGAGAAATGCCTCTATCCAGTCAACAACGTTACTATTTCCTAAGACGCATTTCAATTTAATTAGTAGATTTTTATGACTGACCGCATCGAATGATTTTCTGAAGTCTAAATAAATTATATCTACCTGTCCTTTTCTATCAAGAACTTCACTTAGATAATGCACCGTCTCTACAAGCTGGGTCACTGTCGATAGGCCATCACGAAACCCGCGTTGGAATTCGCTCAGAAACTTATTACAAGAAAGAAACTGTCTGACATGTTTCTAAACTATATGTTCTAGAATTTTGCATGGCGTTGACGTCAAGGCAATGGGTCTATAGTTAGGAACAGATGAAGCATCTCCCCCTTCGGTATAGGAATTATTTTACTCATCTTCCAGTCCTCTGGAAGAGTTCCCGTTGAAAGTGATTTTTCAAAGATTACAAAAAGGTACCTGGCCATCCACTCCGCGCATCTCTTTAGAAAAGCATTGGGAATTTCGTCAGGGCCCATCGACTTGGAAGTTTTTAGGTTCAGTAACAAAGCCAAAATTCCTTCCACTGAAAATGCCAAGTCATATGCATCTGGAAAGTTGCTCGGTAACTCAATTAACCTCTACTGGTTCCTCATCATATTTCGCAAAAACACTCGAAAAAAAAAGTATTGAACTTGTTAGCAATATCGTGTTTGTCATTAGTACCGCCCTCCTCTGTACTTATCTCGGAAACACATTTTTTGTTTTTTGTCAGATGTCTCCAAAATTTCTGTGGTGATTGTCTGAGAAACTGCAGCATTGTAACATTATAATATTTGTGTTTCGATTCGAGATAAGAAACGTCTCTATAAAGCTACCCCAAATTTCGATCGGCTCGCAAAGAATGGAGAGATAAAAAATAAACTGCTGATTTCATGAATCCAAATGGCGAACATACGGGTAGCTTAACGCTACTTTTTTAGGATCCAGTTACTTTAGGGTGATACCTTATTTACACGGTCAACATAAAGGTACCTTTACCATAGGTCCCTCTACTATCGGCGAATTAGCCAGTGCCCTTGGGTCGCGAGCACACGCCAAGCGCGGAATCGCTAACTGATTGGTCGCAAAGAATAAAGGTCCTTTAGCTAAAGGTTTAGATCATTCATTATACTTCGTTTCAGCTTCGGTCCGAGCGCGGCCGATGTTTTGAGCCGAAGGGCCAATCAAATGGCGAAAGAGGCACAACGTCATGGCGTGCTCTCTGCAGTTGATAGGACCAGCCGGGATTCGCCGTCTCTCTGTGCGTGCTCCTCCGCCGGCTAGTGCTATCAAGCGCAGAAAGCACGCCATGACGTTGCGCTTTTTGCTCTGTTTGATTGGCCCATTGGTTCATAACATAGGCCGTGCTGGGACCTATGGTGAAACGAAGTATAGCTAAAGGTTTACCATTTACACACCTTTACGGTCGTGTGAATGGGGTAGACTAGAAGTGGTGGAAAAACCAGCGGCGATGATGCCCCGTCGGCCGTGTCAAGCCAAGGGTGTTGAAAGTCGCACGGGACGCTGTTATCGAAATCCCGACGGGCTCGTGCTTCCCCGTCGGTTCCTGTGCTGCTGCCCCGCTGTGACTAAAACCTTTCGCTGTGGCCTTAAAAAAAAAAAAAAAGGAACTCTTGGGAGTGGTAGAGTTCACTGCAACATGAGGCTTGCGGGTCGTGGTTGTCGTATGCGAGCGATTCAAGGCAGTGCTCGGGAAAAGAGCTAGCGCCAGCTGGTTGGTTCAACACGATATGCCTCACGCGGAGGCCGCCGCTTGAATAAAATTTATATAACAATGTATAGAAAATGTATACATGGGTTGCACGTGACGTTCTTCAAAGAGCGCTCCAATCACCACCAGAGACGAGGGCAAGAGGGAGCTGTCCTCTGTAAGGGGTATTCACACGAGGGAGAAATCCCGGGGATTTCTCCCCGGCACGCGCGCATCAAGAGATGAAAACGCGAGGCTTTTGCACATCGCAAAGCCTGACGTTTTCGTCGTGGAATGCGCGTGCCGGGGAGATATATCCCTCATGTGAATACCCCTTAAGGGGTATTCCCACGAGGGAGAAATCCCAGGGATTTCTCCCCGGCACGCGCGCATCACGAGACGAAAACGCGAGGCTTTTGCACATCGCAAAGCCTGGCGTTTTCGTCGTGGGATGCGCGTGCCGTGGAGAAATCCCCGGGATTTCTCCCTCGTGAGAATACCCCTTTAAGGGGGTATTCACACGAGGGAGAAATCCCGGGGATTTCTGCCCGGCACGCGCGCATCAAGAGATGAAAACGCGAGGCTTTTGCACATAGCAAAGCCTGACGTTTTCGTCGTGGAATGCGCGTGCCGGGGAGATATATCCCTCATGTGAATACCCCTTAAGGGGGTATTCACACGAGGGAGAAATCCCGGGGATTTCTCCCCGGCACGCGCGCATCAAGAGATGAAAACGCGAGGCTTTTGCACATCGCAAAGCCTGACGTTTTCGTCGTGGAATGCGCGTGCCGGGGAGATATATCCCTCATGTGAATACCCCTTAAGGGGGTATTCACACGAGGGAGAAATCCCGGGGATTTCTCCGCGGCAAGCGCATTCCGCGAGGAAAACGTCAGGCTTTGCGATGTGCAAAAGCCTCGCTTTTTTGTCTCGTGATGCGCGCGTGCCGGGGAGAAATCCCGGGCACGTGAACATCCCTTGCGTCTCGTGTGAACACCCCTTGCGTCGCTGTTCTCCTCCCAGAAGATTATTCGCGACTCCAGCAAAACGAACGGCACCTAGCGGGAAAACACTGAATTGGCCTTTCGCGATTTCTGCTCGTCTCTTCTGGCTTCCGTGTTTACATGCTGTTGGTGGTTTGCGCGACAGAACAGTTCTACCGGTGACTGTGTCGTAACCGGTAGAACCAGGTTGCTCTGCACGCGACCTTGAAGAAAGTCAAGCCTCTGGAAGTTCGCTTACCCCAACACATCGCCGCAGGTTCGAAACGTGGAAGATAAAACGCGGTGGAACCAATTTTGAGTCCAATGCTTACTGGCGGGTGTCCCAGCGTTGTGCGTTGAGCTGGCACATGGCACGGGACGACCTGGATTCGACCGCCATATTTGCCCGATAGTGGCGTCCGCTATAGGTCGCTGGAGTCGCGAATTGAAGATTAAGCCCGTCACTCAAAATTCTTACAAAAGCAGTTTCCCTCTCCTCTTACATGGTGGTCAAAAGTATGCGATGTGACGTCAGTGCAACCCATGTTATACAGAATTACTTTTGTCCTCCTTTCCTTTTATGTATCCCTTTCCCAAGACGCCAGGGGTGCTCTTCTGGTCGCAAACGGGTACCTTTCGAGTTGTGACGTATTGAGAAAGAAGGGGCGGAGCCTCAAACTAGAATGATTCTTCTTTGAGGCTCCGCCCCAACGTTCGGGTTCACGCACGCGGTCAGCTAGAATCTGACTAGTAATCTGACGATCCCCCTACGTCACGATGACGTGTCCACGCAGTTGGGGCGCAGAAATCCCCGCATTTCCCCCTGTTCTTTTTGTTATCTTCTTCCTTTCCTCCGGAAATTAGAACGAGCGAATAACGGAAAAAAGGTTACCTTCCGGAAAATGAGAGGAAACAGAGAAAAATAATATTATCCTTTTATAAGATACAAAAGATTATTTCAATAATTATGACGTAAAGTAAATTTAGCTAAGATATATCTGTTTGTTTTCTCGAAGTCTGTCGCTACGGTCTTTGAAAACAAACATGGCGAAAACCACGGTAACGACCTTGTGGTGTTTGTGTCTCGTTTGCGTTGTTCGTTGCTTTCCCTGCTTCTGCACGATACGGATGGCATTACGAGAACAAAATATTATGTGAAGGTACGCTGCAACACCGATCATCCTTTGTGAAGCCACCGTGAACATAAGCTGCAAATGAAATTTCCTGTTTGCCTGTGAAGTAGACTCCAAATGGATACAGAGCTGACGACGACTTTGTGGTAATATATGACAAGTCATGGAGATTGACGGAGAGTGCACCAGTTGTGAACATGCTGTGGATGATGCAGGAAAGTTTCTTCGGGCAGTTTTAATAATGTTCTGGTCCCTTTGCTCACTGCAGCGCTTACGACGGTAGTCCCCATAAGCCATGCTCTTCTCTTTCGGCGCGAAGAAATGGACGCGACAACATACTCTCGGGCAGTCTTTTTTCCTTATTTTTTTATTTGCAGAAAAGCTCATGCAAAAAGAAAATAGAAAACGGCTTCCACGTTTTTACACGTCCCTACATAGCTACTATCGCGGAAAAATGAAATGCGAAAAGAGGAGCGCGTGGCTCGCGGTACAGGCTGCGCCGCCTGGAAGTGAACCTAGGGGCGAGGGTGCGTAGCCACAAGCGTTTCGGGGCAGTAAAACTGGAAACGCCGATTGGCTGAAAAAAAATGACGTCACTTCCGGTTTTGTTATTTTGTTGATTTTTAGATGACGTTTTAAAGTAAAAATATATAAAAAAGTACTTTTCCTGTTTTTGTTTGTTTTTACTTTTTTTTTTTTTTTTTTTCTTGCTTGATTCTTTAATTTTGGCTGGTACGGTTCCGTTCTGTTCCGCCTTGGCGCCCTTGGCCGCGGGGGCAATGTTTTTGTTTTCGTTCTACGTTCAGGTGTTGAGTAGCGACGTATTAACCGTCGATAACCAGCTGAAGCAGCTCAAGTTCTCGAGTGGAACGAGGTTGACCGTGCGCAGTGGCAGCCGTTGACAACAAAAACAATGTATGCACTCAGTTTCGCCGGATGAGTGCCGGCGTCGATCGCGAACCGCCAGAGCCGCCAAATACCTCTCGTACATCTCCAAGAACACCAAGAACAGGAGGTATTCATAAAGGTGAGTGTTCACCGCACTTTAGTGCTTCAGTTCCGTTTGGAGTCGTTTGACGTAATTTAGTCCGGTGCGTCCGGGAACAAAGGCGCTACCAGAAATGGCGGGAATGGTCGGTCGGTGCTGAATGCTGATGCCATCCAAGCGGATTTGAATTGGGTTTCGTGCGCTCAACGTGTCGATTTGTTTCTTGAGCTGCCTTTACCAACCGCTCGCCCGAAATCGTTCGGTAGAACATGCGGACGTGACGGCTAGCAGAGCCCTCCGCAAAGGCTTAGGAGCGCGCTCACAATTTTGGAAGCTTCCGTATGACCGCAAGTGCTCAATAAGTCGCTATAGCAATGATTGCATGCCATCGACACAGACTTCGATCCAGTTTTTCAACGAGACAGGAAGGCCCAACGAAGCAAGCGTAGAATCTGATGCTTCGCCTGTCACTGTCTGCGCGGGAACACGCCGAGAGGCGCTTAAACGAGCTGCCAGGGCGTAATTAAAAAAAAAAAAAAATCTAACGCAGGTCTGAACCACGCGAGGATCGTCTCGAAGCATGGTAGCCTCAACAGACGCTTGCCGCCACACGCGAGGAGAAAGCAGGAGGCCCGAAGTTTGAATGTGAAGGTAAAACGTGCTTTAATAATAATGATCTTTATCTACACGTTCCTTTGTATGACTAAGGTGATCGTGCTGAGACACAATATAGCAGCGATTGCTCTCGAACAAAGGACAGGACAGCAGAAAGGCAATGAGAGGCAGGGAGATAACTGACCTCTCTGTTGTAAAACATTTTTCAGAGGAGGTGCGAAGAGCTGGCCCTCACTTTTTCAAGGCAGCCGCAGAACACTACGAGCCCCGAATCACTGCCGCGGCTGACTCAGCGGATGCTGTGCTGCACCCTGCACTGCACATGGTTCGAAGCACACTTCAGGGGACCAGTGCATGCCCCTGATGCATCGTCGCGGTATGTTTTGTACTGCTTTTCCTAGCGGTGCACTGAGCAGTCCAATCTTGAAGGGAGCACGCGAGTGCGTAGCCAGTGCTCCATGCAGCGAGGACCGCAAGCACCCGCGGAAGCTTGGAGCACACGCAGTGACGCCAGCAGCCGTGCACGCTGGCGTCGTCTGCTACTGTACCGTCCTTTCGTTCGGTGCGCAGAAAAAAAAAGGAGTGACCGCTCTGTTAAAAGTCTGATGGTGAAGGCATCCTTTACAGAAGCACTGTATGGCTCTCTGCACGCTAGAATGGGGGCTGTCGTTGATGCTCGCAGAGGCGTCGCCCACAACTAAGCAGACGACCAAAGTCCTGAGCAGGTGACTAATCGTTTCATTGTTGTTCTTTGGTAGGGTAAGGTAGATAATGTGCTTCTACTCCCAGCTTTGTTGTTTTGTTTTTTTTATCACCATTTAGTATGTTACCATCAAAACAGCATCCTGGTGTTCACATAAATATGTGTTAACAATACCTATCGTCAAATATGTGACTCAAAGAGCCAACTGCGGCCGAGGATATCTTTTAAGTGTTCTTTTTCTCACAAAGATCCCTGGCATCTGGCATTGACTTTTTAGCCACATACCTTGAGTCCAGAAAAACAATGTGCTTCAGCTAAATGGTATTCACACAAAATACATCCTGACAAGCTGCTTTCACTCTCGAGCCTCGAAGAAATTTTGCAGTTTGATTTGAACTATGTTGTAGGTTAAGGAGGTAGGGTCAGGGAAAAGAAGGTGGGAGAGGAGGAAGCGGGCACAATGCTGGTCAAACCCTCTCCCTTCGCCGGCGCTGCATCCATCTCGTCCTCTCCCACCTTCCTTTTTCTTCCCCTACCTTCTTGAGTTGTCACCGACCATATAAAAGGCATGCATTGATATCACTTGTTCGTTTTGTGGCCATGGCGCCAGCAAGGTTTGAGAAACATATCCTGCTTCACAGGGATTCAGCACTCAACATGGAGAAACTATAGGCAGTGCTGCTGTAATGTCTTTGTCCTCGTCTTTTGCAGCGATCTAAAAAAGAGAAATATAATACTAGGAACACAGAGCAACGTCACGCGCCAGTACATAGTGTACTACGAAGGGCAGGTAAATTGACTGCGGAACACGATTTTCTCAATGTCCTCACGGTTCTTTCGGCCAAGTACATACAGATAAGACGATTACCATTAGAAATGTTGAACGCCAATCCGAAATGTTTTTTGGCGGTGTGCCGAGCAAAAGGACATTGCTGCAACAGAAAACATGTGCCATCCTCCGCCTTTGGTGCTTCTGTGTCTGCGCCGAGCTTCCGCAGCCACCAACAGTCAACGCTGCATGGACTGCCCGCCATGCTTTCATGCGTTCCATGTATGATTGGCACGGCATGTGGATGTGTCATGCAAGTGACATCAGCGCTGTTGGCAGTGCCATGCTGGTTGAGCTTTGCTAGGCTCTGACCATTGACAAGCTGTTTTATGCAATAATCGCTCTTGGAAGTCCCCAAACTGTTTTTAGCAATTCAAGTGTCAGATTTTTTTTAGCTATGGTTATACAGGTTTTCTTTTTTAACATTTACAGATTTCAAAGAAAAAGTGAAAGTTATGACAGTTATAAGTTATACGGCCAGGCGGACATTAGATTCATGGAAGAATGCAGCTAAAAGTCCGTGTAGATCATGTGTATCATGCTTCTCTACAGCGCAGCTACATACTTGCGTAGGACAACCCCCATGAAGTGGGGTGGGGGGGCTGCATGCGTGTGTTGGGAGCCCCTCTTGGTTTTACAACTCTACCCTGTTGTAAAATTTTAGATTTTAATGCGAACAAGTTGATAACAAAAAAGAACTTGGTCAACATTGATCTTACAACTAGAGATGTAAAAGGAACAAAAATAGAGAACAGCAAAATGTGGAAGAAGACATCTCGCTTCTTTCATTTTCATTTGACTAAGTGACATTGGTCGGCGACTGTAAGACTTTTAATCACAATAGTTATACACCACAGGTCCCAGGGATCATGGCATCGATGAGCTCGCTTTCGCCTTGTCCAAGGTAGCAGCGGAACACTACGGGCAGGCCCGGAGTCACCGCACCGGCTGGCTCACGGGCGTCGTCCTGTACTCTGCACGGCACTGCGTGTGGCTTAACCGGCCAAGCAGAGGGTCACTGCATGACCTTTATGAGGCGTCGCTAGCCATTGTAAGTATATTTTGGACGCTCGTGTCAGGGGATGTACTTTTGTGTTCTACAACAGAACATGTTTGGTGGCGGTTCAGTCTTGCCTATTCAGCCATTTCGAAACATAATTTTGTGGCGACTTGGCTTAGGTTTTCTGGCTCGGCCGTCTTTTGCACCAGTGTCTAGGCTCGGCGTAAGCCTCTTTGTTCTTTATTGTCAAGGCTAGTGTAATTTCTGCTACGCCGTCGAAGCAACTTCTGCATGCGAACAAGATGCAAGACGAAGCTACATGCTCGTGCTCAGTGCATGACCACATGTGAAAACTAATAGTGAGTTTGTTTCGCTGCACTCGTGCCCATGCGCAGCCACTCGCAACATGAAGTGAGTTTGTTTCGCCGCCGGCACTCCACACGTGCATGCGCTCGCTGCACCCTGAGAATTAAGTGTGTACCTGAATGCACTCCCGTCATGCATCACTTAGGCAGGGAACGAGAGCAGATGACTGGTTTGTCCACCATGCGGGACAGTAGAACTGCAGAAAAAGTGAATTTCTGCTAAAAAAATGACGTCCCACGAGCAACAAAATCGGACACGAGCTTGAATTGTGTGTCTGCTATTCTATAAAGCAAGCAATCCACAACCTGTGCTTAATTTGCAAGTTTTCAGTCATTTTGTTGCCGTACAGACGTCCAAATACACCGGTGGATAAAGAAAGGTTTAGAACGAACATCAGCCACTGCGAGATATCTCTCACCATGTGTGCGGGGCTAAAGAGTTGGGACGTTAGTTGACAAAGCTTGCCCGGCAGAAACCTGCGACGCGTCCAATCGGGAGCCGAGAAAGCTAAACTGTTTTTACCCGAGGCTTGGATAAAATCACAGTGTTTAATAAGGAGCCATGGAATTTATTTTGGGTGGGATAAATTAATTTAGATTCGTATTTTGCTAATACAGTTGAACCTTTCAAGAACGAAATTCTCGCGGCAACGAAGAAATCTGGCGGCCCCACCGAACGTCCATAGGGTTCAATGCATTTGCACCCTCTCAACAGCAAAGAGTTTTTAAAAAGCAGTCCCGCATTAACGAAAGTTTGAGGTAGTGATCTGCCATAGAGTTATTCAATGTGTCTACCAAGTTGGCATTTTCAAATTCCCTGAGTTTTTCAGGTTTCCCCTGAGTACTTTTGTGAAATTCCCTGAGTGACACAGAACTTTGTTTTAGGTCAAGATGGGCGGACACCATGTCGCTAGATGCTGTCCCTCTCTAAAAAGCATGTCATAAAATAAAATAACAACACAATACAGTTTTGATGATAGCGAGTAACTTTTATTAGATTTAAAAAGAAAACAGAACGAAGTGGTTAGTAAAATTGATAGCGAATAAAGTATAAAAAAAGGTAAACTGAGGTTTACGTGACCCCTCCAGGTCTGGTCATGTGACCTTAGGGGGGGGGTGTCGAGACCTGACGGTGACGCCGCTCAAGCCGGAAACGGGAGCAATAACGGGGAAAGGAAAGGGTAAACAAACATAAGGCGTTCAAAGTGTGATTGCTCAACCCTTGTTGTCAAAACACTCCACCTGACAAAATCTTTTTTTTTGGGGGGGGGGGGGGGGGGGGGGGGGGGGGCTAAGGAGTCGCACAGTGACAGCGGTGTTTGGGAAAATGAGCGCACGCGACCGTTCCAACAGCGGGCACTCCCTGCCCTCCCCACGCGCGCAGGTGCCCTTCCCCTTGCTTTTGCCATCCTCCACTTCTTTTGTTTTTATTGGTTGCTTTTTTTAATTTTTGTACAATTGCTTTTTCGCTGCGCATCCCCGCGTGCGCATTCCCGGGTGCGCGTATGCTGGCTTGGCGGTCTGCCAGCCCCGCAACCCGAGCTATGTGCTCCCGGCCGGCGCAATCCGACCTATAGGGAGAAGCGAAGAACCGCCTTCGTCTTCATTCGCTACATCGAGTGTCCCCTCCATGGGAGTTATGGGCATTCGATACAGAAAAACAATGCAATTTTCTAGGGGATGTTTGGACTGTTTCATATAAACAATAATTCGAAATACGGGTGTGATATAACCGGGTTCGACAGTATGTTTGGCCGTCTCCCTTAATTTCCAGATACCTTCGTTCGTTTGGCACATATATCACCGATGCTAGAAAGCGCCGACGTCGTGTTCGCGCTGAGAGTGTCCGACAGTGCACATAAATACACGTGCGAAGCCGTTTTTGCACCATTTTTTTTTTCCCCCATAGAAATGCATTACCGGAAGTCAATTTTCGACTGGTTGCTGTCTGCTTCAACTTGCGTCGGCACACGAGCGCCACTTGAACCTCTAGCGTACATTATAATAACCCTATGTGATCTGCAACATTTTTTTGTCACATGAGCCAGTTTGGAACCCAGAATTACGAAAAGTGGAGCAGTACACTCGTCCGGCAAGTTGGGCACATGCGTTTCCAACAAGCATCAGCGCGGCCATTGCTGTTTACATTCGGTCAAAAAATAATAACAATAGCAACTAGATTCTTTTTTTTTTTTGGTTGGTGAAAACAGCGTTTTGCAAGCCCATCTGTTGGCAACTACCAAGGTATGTGACGTTTCACGTGACGACACCGCCCGCTGCTATTTCGCCGACACCGCAGTTGCTGACGAGCTAATGCTCTTCAGCAACTGACGGATTAGCTCCTCCCGCATCGAATACGCGGCAAAGAAGTTTGTCACATCGCGGCAATTTCAGGCGATCGATTAATTAGTTCTATCCAATTTTTACTAAGAATTGTTTACAAATGTAAAATTGCTCGCTGAAAAGCGCATCACACATTATGCGCAATTGGGACCGAAAAATTAAACATACAAACGGTAGGAATTCATAGCAGGTGTATACCTAATTTTTTGGGATGCTAATTGTCACCGACTTACTAAATTTAAAGGAGCTGTGCAACGATTTTAACGTTGAAAGAATTGGCATTTTCTGCTTTTGATATTGTTCACTGTGTCACAAATGGCAGAAAACACACCTCCTTTCATCGCAATGTTGCGATTCCGCCGCGTAATAGCGAGGCAAAACTTGGAATATTTCCCGACCTGCAGCCACGAGCGGCGGCCATGAGAAACAAGCGGCGTGACGTCACTTGGGTCGTTGTAAGAAAGATAGCAAGTTGTGCGAATACCTGCTCGATAAAAGGTAACTCTTTTTACAAATCTTGTCGTTCCAACATATATATAAATGCGTCAACACCCTGGTATCATCCACAAAACTTTTATTATACGGAGTTTTAGTGGCGCCATCTATCCTAGGTCCACAAAACCGCGAACAGCCGCCAGAAGCCGGAGGGGGAGGGGGACAGCGCCGGACGGGCAAGGACGGGTGGTCACGCGGTCGGCAGCGGATGAGTTCTCGCTGCTCGCTGATGGCTCTAAAGAGAGAACTTTTCCGGAACTCCGCGCCTACTCTAGTGACGTCACTGTGCACGTGACCCGGAAGACGATGCACGAGTTGAGAGGCGGCGAAAACCTGGATCTTTTTCATTTTTTTAAGTAAAAACTAGGGTATCCAGGCAAAATCTGTTTTCTGTAGTTCACTGCAGAAGTGTCAGGCATCAACTTCCACAATTATTTAAGCAAAGCCCTGAAATTGTTGCACAGCTCCTTTAAGGCTTCGGTCGCGAGGGGGTCTCGCATGCTTCACGTCGATCGAGTGAACAAGCAGGGATTTCATTGAGACGACTCTGGAAGCCAGCCACCGTCAATGCCAGTTGTTTTGAGGAAATGTTTGTTTACTGGTTTAAAAAGACCAAAAATGAATCAACTTGGGACTAATAAGAAATCAGCACTTACAAAACACATCGGAACCACCAAGATACACGGAGTCGCTTTCACTGAAGTGTTTACTACACAGGTTAGAGATTCCCGAATTTTGCTTTCCTATTTTCAATTTAATGAGACATTTCTTTCTCAGCTTTATTTTGTCTGAATAATAATAAAATAAATACACCCTATTTGCCATGCTAGCTAGATGTTGTAGTGGGGTAAAGCGCTGGATATTCTATTTTAATCGTCCATCTTTTTGTACTGGGGTGGAGAACAGTACATCACCATCCCAGCATTTCGACACCTTAGTGCCAAAAGTGTTTGTTAGCATGACTACGCGTGGCACGGTTTCACGTATAACTTCACCAAATAAAAACAATGCGCGAAATGGGCTTTGCTGCGCGATACAGCGCATAACGCTGACTGTCGAGCCGAAGGTTCCAAGATCTGCGCAGTCTGTCCCAGTGTGCCCTACCCGTGACGTCAAAAACGACGATGATGATAGCTAGTTAGCGCATGCCGCCAAAGAGTTGTAAACTGCGGACGTTCCGTCCGGAGCTGTCTGTCTTCGATCCTGCTCATTCTGTATCATGTAGGGGAGAGTATGCCATCCTGCTGGCCTACTGTCGCACACTGCCAGTGTTAAACTTTCAGAACTCTATGAGCCGAGAAATTGATGGAGAGGGGGAGACGAGAGTGCAGGGACATCAGAACGCAGAGGCACCTAAACCTAGGTGCCTTTGTCTTCACTGCACTTGTCAAAGACGTTCGAGTGCGAGAGCCAAACGCCGGGGGCGGCCTTTGGCATTTGCATCCCAATACGGTCGACGAGTGCAGTGGAGACAAAGGCAGCCTTTGTTTCTGCTGCACTCGTCGAACACATTCGAATGCAGAACGCCGGTATCCAGCTTTGGGCTCTCGCATTCGAACGTCTTTGACGAGTGCAGTAAAGACAAAGGCACCTAGCTTTAGGTGTACCCACTAATCATTCGAACCAGAGCTAGGGTGTCCTGACATCCACACCTGCTCTCGTCCTCACTTTTCCCTCAGTTTCTTGGCAGATTTTAGGGGAAACTGTGTGGGTGGGGGAAGGGGGGGGGGGGGACGGCCCCCCCTGAAGCCTTCGAGGTTAACTTTTTCTAAAAAAAAATGGACTTATGCCGGCTTTTGTTAGGAAGAAATTAAGTTTTTGACAACGTGACTAGTACACTCGGTTGGAAAACTGCTATAGGAGCCTCCTTTGAAAAAGTGGCTTCAATCCATATGAGAGAATCAAACTAAATGCAATCGCAATGCCACTGTTTCTCCCGCGGTGGCCACTCCGTGAACTACACTGCTGCACTGACTGGTTCCGTAGATTCTCGGAAGGGCCACTGGTGTCATCTCGCAGGGCCATCTTGGAGTAGCTGTGCAAGGCAACTTTCATGTTTTGACTTGTTGCTAAAGAGTGGCACTGTTATCATATTTAGTTTGGTCTCGGTGGACGCCAGCAGTCCAGGTTCCAAGGTTGAGTTTCCTAGCTGAGTGTTTTAGTAACGTTGGTTTTTGGTGGCATAACAAATATTAGGTAAACAAAACAGATCTTGCCCTGCATGTTAGGGTCAGATATTAGTTACTGTTCACCTGATCGACCCCTTTGTTCTCTGCATTCATCATAGGTTTCAAATCGTCCTGATTCATGGGCCAAGCCTTTCAAGACTGCACTCTTAGGCCCAGTCCTTTTTGGTGGATCGGATCTTGCCATCTTCCCCTCTCGTGGCTTCCTGTTGTACTTAAATAAATTGTCTTATTTTTTTCTTATGGTGGTGCATACGTTTTGCCACACTTCACAAAAACAGTGTGGTGAATCCATGCCGCAGATTACTGTGAAACGTGCAGGAAGGGTAAACTCCGAAAAGGTTTATGGAAAGAAGATAGACATCCCCCATTAATTTTTTCTGGACACTCTAAGCGTGCTATCTACGCAGTATTTCTGCCTATCATGGCATCGGCTTTTGACCATTCACGCTTGCAAGGAAAGGCTATCAGCAAGAAGGGTTACGAAGTCTGTGTTCTGTTTGCATTTAATTACTGAAACAAGATTTATAGACTTTACCAAGTGTATTTTAACATAACTAAATGTTTAAACTTTAGATCTTTATTTTAAACTTTACCATTATTTTAAGAAGTTTTTGCTAGGGTAAATGTTTTCCATAAGTTTTTTTTTTTCTTTTATATATCGGATAAAGGGATTACATTTGTTCTCTGAGTTTTTATAGAAGCCCCATCGCTATCACCATCACTATTTTGATTTTTCCAAGATGGCCGTTTTTGTTTCGCGAACGTTCTGCGAGGAGAGTTCGGCGACTTGCGTGACTTACGAACAGAGCTGCCTAATTGGTATGTTAATTTTGGTGGCTACTTATCGCGGAATATCGTGGGTATCTTGTATTTGTACAAGAACTAGTATATAAGGTTCAGATTGTTCGTACAGAACGTTAGCTCGGCGGGTCTAGTCTCTTCTAAATTGCTTGGTTGCCTTTTGTCCACGTTTATTTCCCTCCCAAACCCATCACACACTGGTTCATTTTCTGTTTCCAGTACCTACAATCGAGTAAATTGTTTTAGAGGAGGGGATGCCCAGCTTCAGCAGCTTCAATGTGCGAGGAACACTCCAGCCCCCTCAACAAAGCTGGAGGTGCGGATAGAGTTGAGATTTTAACTGACTAATGAATGCTGCATCGGATGTTATGCAGTAGTAAGTCATGACATTTTTGTATTTATGTCGTGCATCGGCCGTAAAGCGAAACTTACATTGCGTAGGTTACATAGGACGTAACTAACTTTTATTTTGGGTTCTGTTTGTCATAGCTTTAATTTTCATATTAGGTTACGTCGGACCAAACTTTATTTTTCATATTGGGTACCTTAGATGTAACTCGAAATCTTGGGGTAAGGTTACGCTAGACACTGCGTTGAAAGATGCACTTTTATTTTTTTGAAAAGTATTCTTCAACTTACGGCAGTGGCGAATAGCACTTGTGTTGATGAGATGTTTTGATTCCGCATGTCCGGAAAGTTGCCGGGGCAGCTGTCGACTATCTATATAGGACGGGGGAGGCACTCACTTGATCGAATGACGTTTTAGCGAACGCCCACGTTTCATCGAACGACACTTTAGCGAATAGTCGGACGCCGCGAAGCGGCGTTTTCGGGTGGGCCAAATGAGTTCATATTTTTGTAATGAGTTGCCGCAGACTGTCGCCGCGAAGCGGCGTAAAGCGCAGCGCGACGGATGGGTTAACGCGCGCCCCCGTTATTCGCTAAAACGACCATTCGCTCAAATGTCGCCGTTCGCTAAAATGTCATTCGCTCTTGTGATACGGTAATGTTGCAGGTACAAAAGTGAATAATACACCGTGTTGAATATTTATTTATTGGTCTTTTTCGGCAGTGCCGCTTGTGCCTGGACAATGGAAGATGATGCAAAGGCCAAAAGAAAGCTACTCTGCATCTGCACTCTGAATAATGTGATGTCTCGGTAGCTACACATGCTTTGTTAAAGGGAAGTTTATTTCGCCACTTGCTAGGCATCATTGAGGTGATTTGGCTGTGTGCCTTTATTTTATGCTAATAGAATGTACTGCACTTACAACTGCTTGTTGTAGGTGCAGCCTACAACAATCAGTTGCAAAGGAGCACCGTTTAGTGAATCCATTCGATTAACATAAGCAAGTCTGGAAGATGCTAAAGACTAGAGCATGATGCACTGAGGCATGTTGACCTATGCTTGAGCACCCACTCTCCTCTCTTGGGCTGTAAACCAGGCAAAATGTAAAATTATTCTTGCGAAAACAGCAGGGATGTGGCATGCATAAAAACTTGTCGATCATGCTCTGAATATGCTGGCCGCCCAAGCGAGCGACTCACTGACTGACTGGCTCGGCTTTGCCATCAGCCAAGGCAGGACAAGCAAATGCTAGAGCAAGCAGTCAAGTTCGGTGAATTTTGTTTTTCTAAAAACAAATTTGCTAAAAGGAGATTCGTTGCCATTTCCTCTAAACGGAGTGTCTTCTTGAAAGAATTCAATAAAAAAGGGGGTTTCAAAACTTGTGCTTGGAAAAATAGATGCCTCTGCTCGGGCCGTACACATCAACTTTCTTAGATCTGTCGGTTGACAAGCTCCATAAAAGAGCAGCAGTAAAAAAAAAAAAAAAAAATTGAGACGTTTACAATTCTTTGTAACATGAAATTAGAGCGCAACGCTTGAGTAGGAGGAGGGGAGGTTATGCCTCTCCTATCCCTCCATACCCTCTCCTTCCCCTCCCATTTAGCAGGCAATTTTCGCTAAATTTCCTGCTAAATTTAGCAAGAATTTCCCCGCTAAATTTAGCGGTTTAAGTTTCCTCTCTAAATCTTGTGGGGAAATTGATGTCACAGAACCTCAACACCAATTCAGTTTCCCCGCTATATTTAGCGGGGAAACTGAATTGGTGTTGAGGAAACAACCCTGCTAAATGGCACATGACTTCATGCCACGTCACTCACAAACAAATTCAGTTCCTCAGCTAGATTTAGCAGAAAAATTGACATTGCGTGACCTCAACACAAATTCAATTTCTCACTAAATTCAGCAAGGTGATCATGCAGACGGCGACGCAATGAAGCGTGGAAATGGGCACCTAAGAGCTGCACTCTAAACCAGTTTTTCTCTGTTGCCGGTGCACAAGCAGGTAAGGGCGGATAGCATTCCTAGTGCCAATTCCTTTGCGGTCAACGAAAAACGCTTTTTGAACAACGCTCTTTCTGTTTTAAGTATTGTGCAGGCCTTAAGTTTACTATAAGAACAACAACAACAACAACAAAAAAAAAATCACTTTCCACTGCAGGTAATGTGCATCCAACGTTCCACTGGATCTGTCCAAAGGGCAGGCTGATACTGCGGCAGACGCCACTGAGCGGACACACTGCAAAAAGGCGTCGGGCGTTTTCCGAAGTTTGTCAACTGACCTAGATCTGAGAACGTTGGTACATGTATTGCTACCGTTGCCAAGCAGGACTGGAGATTGTTAGAGTGTGAACAATGTTCACACTTTGGTCAATGCAAGCACATCTTTTTTTTTTTAGTAATATTGACTAACAAGATTGCAGCAATCAAACAAGTTAACACCGAAATGTTAAAAGCAATAAAGAAATTAAAGCCCGGCTGTTCTGCGAGTGCAGATTTTATATCTTGCTTTATTTTAAGGGCTGCACTGATTTGTTTGCCCCTTCATTAAAGGGGCCCTGCAACCATATTTAAGCGTCTACCTTTTTTGCGGTTTCCACGTCTCTTGGCGTTCAGGCAAGCCAGCGGGCACGGAGAAAGTAACTAAATGTCAGTGCGTCATATTTTAACCGGCCGACGCAGAAACCTCCTTTACCTACAAGGGCGACCCGCATTGCTGAAAGCGCGCGAAATGCGACGTCTTTGGTCCTGGGCTTACTAGTGGTCGGAGCCGCTAAAAGCTAAAAGAACCGTTTCAATTATTTGTGAAAGTAGTTTTTGTTCAGTATTTTAGACCAGAAAAGAAACAAATGCAGTTTATAAAGTACGGAAACAAGAAACGACCCTTCGACATACCCGCCACCCAAGCGGTGGAAAAGGCGGCGCATACTAGAAAGGTGTAGTGGGATCAGGCAATGACGAGGGCAAGCGTAGAAAGGTCTCGGGTGTATGCGGCGGCGCTGCAGTCGAAAATCCGACCGGTTCCGAGCATTTCAAAGGCCTTCGGCGAGCAGCTTTGGCTTGCGGTTTGGCCCTTTGGCGGTATGGCAGTGCGAAGTGGCTCCCGTTCTGAACTGATCTTTACCCCGTGTTTGCTGTCGTTTGTGACCAATGAAGTGTCATGCCGAATTAGTGTTTAATCGTGCAGCAAATGCAATGCGAGCCCCCTGGCTGCCCGCTTCTACAGCCTTTCCAGAACATGCTATATGGCGCCCTCTCGAGCTGTTGACACGGAGCGCTCGCTGAGCTCACTTAGCCCTCTTCTAGTTCATGGCCACTCGAGCGACCAAGGACGTCATGAAAAAGGTTATGTTTTGCTTGTTCTTGTAATTTTAATTTGCCTATAACTTTTAAAATAAAGCGAAATTCGAGAAAAGAAAAGTTTAATTAAGTTGCACTGACTACGTTCAGTGCGCTCAGGTTCGGTGCAAATGAAAAACCAGTCAAAAAGCCCTTGCAGGGCCCCTTTAAAGCATGCATTTCATCTCCGAGAAGTTGTGATTTTTCATTGTTGTGGAAGAGGTCTCATAGCACCAGTGAAGGACGATGGTGATATATCTAGGGTAGACAGTCACTGCCTGGGTCTTTAATATAAGCTTTGAAAGAGTCTATAGTCAGTTGCAACCTAAGAACGAAGGGCGAGGGTAAGACGGGTTGGGGAGGAGGAAGCAGGCGGAACACTAAAGAGAGAAGGAGGTTTCCCCCTCTCTTCTCCAGCATTCCGTCTGCTTCCTCCTCCCCGGCCCATCTTACCCTCGCCCTTAGGTTGCAACGGACTATAGATAGTTGTACACAGACATGGGTCTCTTTACTCCAGTTAAAAACAGCACCATTCAATGGAATTTTTTTAGGTTGTCAGTAGAAATGTTTTTGTAAACTTGAATACAAGGCACCATCCGTTTTTCTCACTGAAGCAAGTTGATATTTTTTCTTTCTATTGATAACTAGCTTCTGACAAGATCAATTACAAATTGCTTTTGTAAAAACCTTTATTGTATGGTGTAGCACTGCCACTTTTAAAATGGTTTAATGACTAAGTCCCTCACAAGATGAGAATGGCTATGAGAAGCCTCAGTTGCCCTGCCTCCAGCAAGAGAGCTTCCTACCTTCGGCAACGCGTAGAGGCGGGACATTTGTAAGACACACCCAGCCGTTCGCATTCCATTCAGCAATGCTTAGGCATCTTGCAAACCTCAAGAATGCACGCACAGCCAAAGCATGAGGAAAGGCGATGAGTGCTCGCTGGAGGCTGAGCTATAAGACATGCCCTGCATTTCTCATCTTCCCTGCGATTATTAGCACCGAGATGTTCTGGTGATATCCTATTTCGCTCGCAACATCACGGGCGGTTTGATACTTCAACCCTATGTTCCAGGTGAGAAAAAAAAAAAGTGCCTTTCATGGAACGCTTGTCAAAATAATAGGCGCCAGAGAGTAACGGCCATCTGCGTTCAGTCCTTATTTAGAACCCTATGTTCATGTTCTGTGGCCGCATTGAAAAGTACTGCAAGAGAGCCCAAGTGTGCTCCTGATCTCGCCCCACCAGTCTCCTCCTGCACAATAAATTGACTGCTACGGTCACCAAATGTCAATAGATGCACATTCGAACGCAGCAACTGAAGCCAGCTACAGACACAGTATCTTTCAAAGTATCTTTGAAAGATATCTTTGTATCAAAGCTACAGACACAGTATCTTTCCAAACAGACTGCAGGTCACCCCTCACTTGGGCGAGGGGGGTGACTCGTGTGGTCTGCTTCTGCGGTCTCCAAAAATATTTTCGTAAACAACTCCCACATCTACCTACAGTAAAATAAGCAATATTCAAAACTTAAAAAAAAAAAAAAAAAAAAAAGCCGTTTACGATTCCCTGTAACGCCGGATTAGAGCGCAGCTCTTGAGGAGGAGGATGAAAGGATACGGAGGAATGGGTGACGCCCTGAGGGCCCCCTCGCTTTCGCGCTGCGGGACAGTCCCAGACACGAAGCTTTGAGGTTCTCCGGCGCGGGCTGCGGCACCCCAACACATGTGTGCTGGGCTGTACATGTCTGTTTTTTCGTTCTTTTTTTTTTCCTCGGGCGCTTAAAAGCCGAAGTCCAAAGTCTACTCGTCGAACAGCGTTCACCCACACCTTCTCCAGTTTTTGGTCCGTTGGAAACTAGTGAAAAAGCACCTCCATGTTGCACAGCGGGTTGTTTGAGCAGCCCACAGCGCTACAAGTTGTACTCGGCATCTTTTGAGGAACAGCTGGGCAGTCTTGGGCGCACCAAGTTGCTCGCTAAAACGAGTCTTGGAGTCCTCACAAGCAGATAAACAAAAGGCTATAGCGAAGCTACATGGGCTACAGATAAAATCAACGGCTAAACACGCCAATCACAAGCCGAAGTACCGGTGGTAGCGGCTCGAAGAAACGCACTCCGCGCAACGCCCGGGCCGGAGGAAAAGAGAACGATACTGACGTCACGGCGCAATGTTGCTTTAGCGATCGCCAACCCGCTGGCCGCCCGCTAAGAAGCAGCGGCTTGCGGCAGGTCACATTTTTATTATCGGCATTAGTTGAGAATGCGGCGTCCCACGGACGTAATATTTTGGCTGAGGTCGTATTTTGTGTGTCTACAACGATACCAGTAATTTATTTCATTTTGAGTTTTGGCCGGAGTTGCCCTTTAAGTTGGTCAGAGTATCTGACTGCAAAGGGTTAATAATCCATTTTTAATCGACATAGAGGCGAACTAATTAGCCACTCGGCGCTTTGACGTAGCGCGTCGTCTGCTCGATCCTACCAGCACCGCTACAGGAAGGCGTCCGCGAGATGAAACCACCAAAACATCTCGTCGCCAATGGTGACACAGTGGTCGAGTCTAACATGTGAGCTAGGGCCGGCTCACATGCTTTGGGTACCACGGATGTGTCGCACTGAAAATGCGGAAAGCTTTTGAGGGAAAGGAAGTACAAAATAGTCCGTCATGTTTTCGAATTTTCGTACCGAAAAGCAGACTTTTGACTCTCGGCCCACTGAACAATATGTTACAGTTGAACCCCGTTGTCACAGGGTTCTTTGTGGTTAATAATTGACAAAATACAATGTCCTTCGTTTTTCATGAAAACTTGTATTTACAAAAAAAAATCAAAGGGTTCATATGCTTATACAAAAAAAGAAAACTTAGTTAAAGAAAGGAAAACGCATCAGTCACCATGTCTTTGAGTCCCTGTGCAGCAGTGTGTCTTGTGCTGTCGTTGTCGGCCCACGGTTGTGGCTGGAAGTCAGGAGCGGGAGCGGTTGGCTTCCGTCAGCGGCCCCAGAGTTACCGCACCAAGCGCTCCCGCTGTAGGAAGCCGGGGGCAGCGTAGGTTTCTATTCGCTGCCCTCGCTGGAACAGGCTGCTGGTCAGACAGTAGGAGGCCGCCGATTGCCCTGGCCGATCGTGTCGTTCCGCTCTCTGCACAATCTCCCGGCCAGTCCTTTTCACGCCCTCTGAGCACGCACTCCAAAATCTCTCTTCTTCGTTTCTCCCTCCAGGCCGATCCATGGGTTGACTTGCACTTCTTTTCCACATTAAGTCACATCATCACACCCGTAATAACCAAACCGCGGGGGAAGGAAACGTTTTTCGTTCTCGCAAGAATTTCGCTGCTGCAGAAATGGACAACTAAGCACACCTATTACTTTTCATGATGCTGTCCTTGGATTTCAGAATCGTAGAAAGCGAGAAACAAAGGATACTGAACTCCTCTGTAATATCAGACTTCTTTCTGGCTTTGGCAGTGATCGCAGAGTTCTCCTGAAGTGCAAAAAACTTAAACTTTTTAATGGGAGGCGGCATCTTTCCGACAGGCCAAACGAAAGGTAGTAAACAAGGCGCGAGCGATCTCGGCGTGCACGCGGCGGACGGCGAAATAGCAGCAGGCGGTGTCGTCACGTACCTAGGTAGTTGCCAACAGATGGGCTAGCAAAACGCTGTTTTCACCAACCCCCAAAAAAAAGCATCTAGTTGCCATTGTCATCATTATTTGACCGAATGTAAACAGCAATGGCCGCGCCGATGCTTGTCGGAAACGTATGTGCCCAACTTGTCGGACGAGTGTACTGCTCCATTTTTCACAATTCTGGGTTCCAAACTGGCTCATTTGACGAAAAAATGTTGCAGATCGCGTAGGGTTATTGTAATGTACGCTAGAGGTTCAAGTGGTGCTAGTGTGCCGACGCAAGTTGAAGCAGACAGCAACCAGTCGAAAATTGACTTCCGGTAATGCATTTCTATGGGGAAAAAAAAAACTGTGCAAAAACGGCTTCGCACGTGTATTTATGTGCACTGTCGGACACTCTCAGCGCGAACACAACGTCGGCGCTTTCTAGCATCGGGGATATACGTGCCAAACGAACGAAGGTATCTGGAAATTAAGGGAGACAGCCAAACATACATACTGTCGAACCCGGT